AGACCTCCAGGACCTCCAGACGTTGTGCACACCGTCTGGAGGTCCTTGCATACGAATTGTGATCTCATCCACAAATTGTCGGATTCTTGCCATTGGTGCCGCTCGATGCACTCCCTCCAGAACATGGTACAGTCGGGCACGCGCTCCGTGGCCGGCCTTGCCACAGCGTGGGGCCATGCCATTGGTCGGAAGGATGGTGCTGCTGAGGTTCCCATTCATTTTGACAAGACGTGGACTCACGTATGATGCAATGCACATGTAGAGCTCGACTGCAGGGTAATCCAGTTCCGTGGCCCTCTTCGTCAGGATCCCCAGACCCACGAGATCATAGAACTTCTCCAGGTCCTGGACGAAACTGGCCTGGCTGGCCTCCTGGAGGCGTGCTCGGTTCTCATCCAATACGAGTGTACCCATTGACGCTTGTAGTGCTGAGCAGCTGCGAACTGATGCATCCCAAACACTAGTTTTTTATCGCACCAGACTGCGAGTTTCTGTTTCGTCATCTTCCCCCACGCTCTCACTGGCATCGGTAGTAAGCCAATCGGCCGCTCTTTCCCTGCGATTTGCTTCTCGCCCGTGGGTAAGACAGCGTGCCAATTCTGCATGAGTTGATGCGGCCACTGTAGTTGTCTCTCGCACATGTTGATGATCGTGAAACACCTTTCTTTGCAGTTTGGACTGGGTGCACGTACTTGATCAGGTGCCCATTGGTCTGCTCCCCTTCCTGACTTGGCTGGGAAGCTGTCCAATGCCGCCTGAAGGTCCTCTCGAGGGTAACAGACCTCCTACCCTGACACGTCGATTAACGAATTGGCCGTTTTCGGTTCGCGAGAGGGCGTCGCGGCCGTCATTTTTGCGGGTCCAGGTCCGTCGGTTTCAGTCCCAGGCCGTTTTCATTAAAGGGAGGTTTATTGAAGGGAGGTTTGCCCACCGCCGATTCTCGATGGCGTGGCAAGGCATGTCCTCGAGCTCCTCCTGGGCGCGCTCCTTGAGCAAGTCGAGCTGGTAGTTGGTCTCATCGATGTGGTCGTTGTGGTTGGTCCATCGTGCTTCCCATGCCTTTGAGTTGTATCGCCTCTTCTGTGGCCAAGTACCTGCGTGCGCCCTGCATGCCTCCTGTCGTAGCTTGCGTCGCCCAGTGCCGTATCTGACGCCTCGTGTCTTGCCGTGTGAGCTGCGCATGACGTTCTGCTCGTTGGTATGCGCAGGCAATGGTAGCACCTTGAATACGGGACACGTCCTTCTCCTGTTTCACCGCGCCCATGGAGCGGTCGCGTGGCTGTGCCTGACTTAAGGGGTGGGGGCTCGGGGCGTTCCTAGAGCTGCCCCCTGCCCCCCCCCCCCCCCCCTGGTCATCGCGCCGCCCCTCGTGGTGGTCTGACCCCGCCCGCGCTGCCCCTCCAGTAGCGGCGCGCTCTCCGCGCCTCGCGCCAGCGGCAGCCCCCTGGCGAGGGCTCGTGGCGCTCGGCGGGCCCACTGCCATCATGACCGCCGCGTCCACCCCGCCGTCCAGGTCCTTGTCGAGCCCACGCGTACGTGGCGACGTCAAGCCTAGTAGCCGCTGTGGCACGCCAGGAGTTTGCGAATTGACGCCATGCTCGAAATTGTCCTCCCCGACCTCCTGGTCGATGAAGTCGAACGGGTCTAAGCCCCCCTCGCAGGTGGAGCTTTGCGGTGGTCCTCCCGCAGCTGATTCTGTCGGCTCGGCAAAGCTGGCGACGCTATCCTCCCGATAAGTGCCAAGGCTACAGCCATCGGTTCCCCCCCAGTTCGGACCCCCACGGCCAAGCCCCCTGGGCGCTGAAAGCTCGGGGACCTCTGGCCCGACGCCTTGGCGCGGGACGGAGGGGCCCCCGCTTCCCAGGCCATTGTATTACAAGGCGCTGACGACCTCATGGGTGGGGCTGCCAAACCTCACGTCAGTGTTCGCATTGGTAGCTGGGCGTTCGCATGACCAACCGTAGGATGCCGTCGTATTCAGTGGTTGGTGGCGTCGTAGTGGAGCTGTTGGTGGACGTCGTCGTCTGTTGTTGCTGTTCTGGTGGGAAGCCCAGGTGCGTCCCAATGAGCCGTAGAACTTGACCATCCTTACGGAAGTCCCGCGGGTCGTATCTGTTGTTGGGCTTCGTCCTCATGTTGACGAGTTGTCTGTATAGCCTGCTGATCGTGCTGATGACCGCCTGCATGGCGGTGGTGTTGGAGTGGCGCCGTTGGAGTATTGCTAATTATTGTAGTCGCGCTGCCATGGCCTCCCAACAGTTGGCCTCCATGCGCTTGGCGGCATTCTCGAATGGCTCGGGCCCTCGTTGATGTACTGCTTTCTTCTTCTCGAAATGCGGTGCTCCTCCTCGTTGTTGCGCGGTTTGTTGGTCGGTGCCTTGGAGTGGGCCCATGCTAGCTCCGCCGCCCTGGTCCATGAACCACTGGCTCGTTGTGATGGTGATGTAGTGCTTGGTACCACATGTTGTCAGTCGCTGTCGCGTTGATCTTCTTCTCGTACTCAGTGTCCAAGAGGTGGATGTGAACGTCGAGCTCGCTGCTGGCGTTGGGATCGAGGCCGTCTCCATCATCATCATCATCATCATCATCATCATCATCATCATCATCATCATCATCATCATCATCATCATCATCATCATCATCATCATCATCATCATCATCATCAGCAGCAGCAGCATCATCAGCATCATCATCATCATCATCATCCTGGTGGAGGTTGGCGGATCGCTCTTTGTCTCGCTGCGCCCTTTATGGGTCCTTTCTGGATGCGGATCTTGCGCGTAGGGTCTTCGATTTTTATGGGCAGACGCGGCACTTGTATGCTGACTGTTGCAGGCCTGGCTGTGAGCGCCAGGTCGAGCCCAAGGTGCGGGCTCCACGAGACGCCCCTAGCTATGTTGAAGTGCCTCACCAGCGGTAGGAATTGCTTCGAGCACACACCGTAGTCAATGAGCCTGCCCATCCCTGACGCGCATGCGATGACGCAGTCCGTGGGGATGAGCAGCTCGCCGCCCATCGCCTTCAGCCACTTGGTTTGGCCAAGTTGTTCGGGCGTGCTGTTCCAGTCACCGTGTGCTACCCAGGGCACTGTTTAAGACTTAATCACGCGCGTTAACTGGAGCATCTTGCTGGCATTCTCATTCTCGAACCCTTTCCCTGAGTCGAGGTAGACACAGATGAGCGCCGCTGTCGCCCCCTGGAGCCTACGCATCACGACTGGGATGTCCTTCGAACTCTTCTGGGACACGCTCCTCCCGGTGGCGTCAGGAAGGTGTGTTGCTATCAGTAGTCCTGCTCGCGCAAGCCAGCAGGTGAGCCCACGAGTACCTGTTGTACTCCTCCCCATATGTGTAGCTGGAGTCCACGTGCATCATGCAACGTGCGTAGCTGGAGTTCACGTACGTAGGTGTAGCTGGCAAATGCCACCCCTGGCGCTGCAACTTCATGGCCTCGTTCCTGGCGGCTCCCGCGAGCAAGTGGTGCTCGGCGATGCCGATGACATCAGCACTGGCGCGCTGCACGTTGTGTCCCACTTTCTCCCCGAAGTGCGTGACATTCGCGAACAGCACGTGTGGAGTGCGGTCCACAGACGCGACCGCTCTCTTGTCTTTGGAGGCGCCTGTGCCGTGGTTGCCCACTGGGCCGTTCGGCAGCGGCACCTCCTCCCCCACTGGCGGTCGTTGCCGTCGGCGCCCGCGCCTTGACTTTGACCTTGAACTGAGCTGTGGCCTCGATGTACCTGTTGGCTGCCTCGGGGTCTGTGAAGTCTGTGTTGCCTGCGCTGGCTGAGGGCTCCTCTGCTGGAGCCGCTGCTGGTTGTTCTCCTGCTGGTCGGGCTGTCCCATCGGTGCATTTCTTCCTCTTGCTGTTGACGGCGGTGTGGAGCTTGCGGACACGTTCGGCTGCACCTTTCGCGTTTTGTCCAGCTGCGGCCGCTTGCTTGATTGTGGCTGCTGCGACTGCGGCCGCCTTCCTGGCTGCTTCAGATTCACGCTGGCCTCCCTGCCACGGCGACTCCAGATCCTCTCTGCCCAGTTCTGGGAAGTCCGTGTCGTCGTTGGTGCCTTTCTGCTTCTCCTATTCGGCTGCTGCAGCTGCTCCCACAGTGGTCTTGCCCCCCAGCTGGTCGACCTCGGCCTGGGCTGCCAGGCCCTCCTCCAGGTTGGCACTCTGTCGGGCAAGAATACCTGTCTGAGGCTGAGCTCCTGCCACCAGCTGTGCTTGATGCGGCCCTGCTGCGCCTGGGGCTGTCGGAGCTTCTGCGCTGCGATGGCGAGCTGCTCCTCGGCCGACTTGATAGGTGGCCGTTCCCACACCTCCACCAGCTCGGGGCAGACTGCCAGCAACGCCTACAGCTTGGCCTGGTCATCGGACTCTTTGGCCTTGGCAATCTGCGGCAGCAGGGCTGAGGCCACGTGGGAGGCTCCTCCTGCCGCTGGCGGTGGCCCTGCTCTGACGACAGAGCGCTGTCTGCCTGCTCCGCCTTTGCCTGCCACCACGTCTGCGAATGTGACTGTGCGCCGCTGCTGCTGATGGTGTAGCTTGCCGAGCTCGCTCCACACGATGCCACCAGAGACGCATGCTTCCCATCCCTGCTTCCCAGCCTTGCTGAGAAAAGCCCAAGAACGAGGGCAATGCGGACATGCAATGTAAGGTCGCTGCCGACTCCTGGATGTGGACCTCTGGCGAGATTTCGCATCTTTTGGGCCTCCTCCCATGGAAACTGGCACACGCACTTTCGCCGCCCTGCTGGGCGCCCCGCAAGCCGCGGCGCACGGTACGCGTGCGTGTGTGTGTGTGTGTGTGTGTGTGTGTGTGTGTGTGTGTGTGTGTGTGTGTGTGCGGCCTCTCCCCTGACAGGACTCGGCACACAAAATGCTTGAGAGGAGGAGGAGGGGGAGGAGGAGGGGGCTTGGGCGAGTGGGTGGGTGGAGGGGGGAGGACAAGTAGGGGGAGAGGGATGATGAGGGATTGAGCATTGGACGGGTTGTCGCAATGAGGATCTCCATGACCACCCAGAATCCGCTGCTTTGAATGACGCGCCTGCCGGCTCTCCCGACGTGTAGGCGGAGGCGGAAGGGGAGGAGGAGGAGGAAGAGAGGACGGACGCGGACGATGATGCCCATGCTGGTGGCGATAAAAAGAGCACTGTAGCCATCGTGATGAACCTTGTGGTGGTAGTGAGATTGCGCCCAGTGCCTGAACTGTTCGTCCCCACCGATGTGTGCTACTGCCGCCGTTGGTTTGACTTCGTCGCTTGCCACCTCGTTCATCGCCATCGGTCCGCTGGGAGAACATGGTGGTGGCGGTGGTGGTGATAATGATGCCGAGCATGAGCACGATGCTTGTGATGATGAAGGCGACTCTGCGGAATACGATTGTAATGGCGGTGGCAACGGTGACGATGATGAGGGTGACCATGGTTGTGACGATGTTAATGGCGACTGCGCGGATGTAGATGACTATCGCTGTGGTTGTCGTACCGATGGTAAATGCGGTGATCACGATGCGATGACGATGATGATGCTGATGGTGATTATGCTGATGATACTGATGATGATGATGCTGATGACGATGATGCTTGTGGGGATGATGACGATGATGATGATCATGATGATGGTGATGGTGATGGTGATGAGGATGATGATGATGATGATGATGATGATGATGACGGTGATGATGATGACGATGATGCTGATGATGCGGATGCTGATGCTGATGCTGCTGATGATGATGGTGCTGGTGATGATGACGAGTGTGATGATACAGGTGATGATGCCGGATGCTGATGATGATAGTGATGATATTGCTGGTATTGATGTTGCTGATGATAATGGTGATGATGGTGGTGATGATGCTGCTGATGATGATGATAACAAGGATGAGGATTCTGATAAGGATGATGAGGATGAGGATGGGGATGAGGATGAGGATGATTCTGATGATGACGATGATTGTGATGGTGATGACGACGATGATGATGACGATTGTGATAATGATGATGATGGTGACGATGTGAATGCTTCTGCTGCTGTCGATGATGATGATGATAGTGATAATGATGATTCATGATGATGCTGCTGATGATGAGAATGCGAATGATGATGGTGATGCTTATGATGATGATGATGATGATGATGATGATGATGATGATGATGATGATGATGATGATGATGATGGTGATTATGATGATGATGCTGGTGATGGTGAGGATACTGATGGTGATGATGCTGTTGCTGATGATGAAACTGATGTTGAAAATGACGATGGTGATGGCGATGATCATAATGCTGATGCTGATGCTGGTGTTGCTGCTGCTGCTGATGATGCTGACGCTTATGGCGAAGCTGTTGGTGATGATGATGGTGATGATGGTGCGGATGCAGCTGCTGAGGATAAGGAGGATGTTGATGCTGCTGGTGCTGATGATGTTGATGCTGATGCTGCTGCTGCTGCTGATGATGACAATGATGATGCTGCTGATGATGATGATTCTGATGCTGATGCTGCTGAAAATGATGACGACGATGCAGACGACGACGATAATGATGTTGTTGGCGATGGATGATGATGCTGATGATGATGACGATGACGATGTTGATGATGCGGATGCTTTTGCTGATGATAATGATGCTGGTGATGGTGATGATGATGATGATGATAATGTTTGTGATGATTGTGGTGGTGGTTGTGGCGGTGGCGGTGATGCAGGCGGTGGTGATGACGATGATGACGGTGATGAGGATGATGCCGATGATGGTAATTATGATGATCCTGTTGGTGATGATAAGGGGGATGATGATAATGATGGTGCTCTCGCTGTTGATGATGCTGATGATGATGATGATGGTAATGATGATGATGATGATGATGATGATGATGATGATGATGATGATGATGATGGTTCTGGTGATAATGCTGATGATTTTGATGATGATGATGATGCCGACGCTGCTGCTTATGATGCTGATCATTATGTCGATGACGATGATGATGCTGATGATGGTGGTGATGCTGATGTTGCTGCTGCTGATGATGATGCGGGTAGTGATACGGTTGATAATGATGATGGTGATGATGATGAGGGTGATGGTGATGATGGTGCCTCTGATGATGATGCTGCTGATGATGATGGTGATGATTATGATGCTGCTGCCTCTGTTGCTGATGATGCTGATGCTGCTGATGATGATGATGACGAGGATGCTGACGACGATGATGATGCTGGTGACGATGATGATGATGATGCTGATGATGATGGTGGTGGTAGTAGTGATGATAATGATCATGCTGATGATGATGCTGATGATGATGTTGATGATGATGATGATGATGATGATGATGGTGATGCTGATGATGATGGTGATGATGATGATGCTGATGATTTGGAGGAGGGGGAGGAGGATGCTGCTGCTGCTGCTCAACCAAGTTCCGCCCCCCTGTTCTCATTATCCCTGCTGCTCCGCCTTCTAGCTTGCGCATCCGCCTCCTCCTCCTTCTCTTTGCTTCCCTGGCAAGGGGTGGCCTCCAATAGCCAAAGCGTGCGGAGCCACACTGGGCATCTCCTCCTCTATACAACCACACAATCTGAATACTACTCTCCTCTCTCCCCTGGTGATATCCGGGACATGGCCCGCCCCCCTCCGCGTACTTGTTTTTTGCGCACAGGCTTCCTTGGAAACGGGTTTTCGCTGGTATTTGTTTTCGAAATGCTGCTCTCACTGTGGCGCTGGCTTCATTTTCGGGCCACTGCTCGTTCCGAATCGTGCTCCCGCTGCAGCGCTGGCCTCATCTCCTCGCTTCCGCTCGTTCCGAAATCGTGCTCCCGCTGCAGCGCTGGCGTCATTATTTCCAGCGCCATGCCACGACATGGTTTTCGGTCTTTCCAAATAGGCTCCCAAATCTAGAACATGTTCCCCCGAAAAGACCATCGGAAGTGATTACACATTCGATGCCGATTCGTTGATTTTTTGGGGGATCGCAGAAGCGCCTGCCTCGCCACTTTGGGGCGTCGCCACGCCATGCTATGTCAGGCTCCGCCTCCTCCGAATCGTGCTCCCGCTGCAGCGCTGGCCTCATTTCCGCGCTTCCGCTCGTGCCGAATCGTGCTCCCGCTGCAGCGCTGGCGTCATTACTTCCAGTGCCAAGCCACGGCATGGCTTCGGTCCTTCAAATAGGCCCCCAAATCTAGAAAATGGCCTCCCGAAGAAACCATCGGAAGTGAGTACACATTCGGTGTCGATTCGTTGATTTTATCGGGCCGCAGAAGCCCCCCCCATTTTGGGGCGTCGCCACGCCATGCTATGTCATGCTACGCGTAAATCTTCAGCACCGTGCTATGCCATGTAATGCTATGCCATGTTCCGACATCCGATTCTGCGAATAGAGAAGAGATCTACGCCACGGTAAAGGATCGGAGGCAGGGGTAGAAAGTCAGATATGACGCGAGCGCATCTAGCTTGTCCTCCCCCTCCTCCTCCTCCTCCTCCTCGTCCTCCTCCCCCTCCTCCTCCTCTTCCTCGACTCCTCCTCCTACTCCTTCATTGTTGTTGCTCCTTATCCTCCTCTGGCTCCTCTCTCCCCCTCCCTCCTGCCCGACCTCCCTCCCTCCTCTCTCCCTCCCTCCCTCCCTCCCTCCCTCTCGTCCTCCTCCTCCTCCGTCTCCTCCTCCTCCACCTGCTCCTCCTCTTCCCCGCTGGAGGTATGCAGAGGTCCTCGCACGTCGAAGGAGGTCCATCGATGTTGCCGGATGCTTTGGGGGGCTTCTGGAGGCCACGAAATTGGCCGAACACGTTTCAAAGACCAGCCCACTGGGAACGGAAATTGTCGTTCACACCTTTCAACAATATGTCAGTCGCCACCGGAATTCTCTGGGCAGAGCCGTCCTCCTGATTGATTTTAGGAATGCGTTCAATAGCGTGCAGCGGTCGGTTTTCTTGGGAGAGGTTGGCAGGCACATGCCATGCTTGGAGGCTTGGGCTAGGTGGTGTTACGGCGGCCCGCCAGACCTGCTGTTTGGCAGCCATGTGCTGACGTCCAACAGGGGAGTCCAGCAGGGCGATGCTCTTGGACCTCTCCTGTTTTCGTTGGCTGTTCACCCTCTCCTGCAGGAGCTGAAGAGCGATGCTGGTCTAGACATCGTGCGCGGTTACCTCGACGATTTCTGCGTGGCTGGCGAGTTCGACGCGACGCTGCGGGCGTTGCGGCTGATTCAGGGAAGAGCGGCAAGCCTGGGCCTCGAGCCCGGGGCGCCTGGCCGACGAGCTTTGGCTCGTGGGCGGCACCGTGGGCGACTGGCGCGGCGCCGCTGCCGCGGCGGCCGAGCTGCGCTCTCGCACAGAGGGCTTCGCGGCGGCGGGGGCTCGGCGCCCTTGGAGGCGCGGCCGTGGGAGCACAGCCTGGGCAGGGCCTGGGATCCTGGGGGCCGCGGGCGGGCTCCCCACGGCCGCGGGCCGCGGCGAGGACAAGTGCGAGGTCATCCCCACGGCCGGGCGCAACACGGAGTGCAACCTGTCCGAGTTCCCCGCCGTTGTCCAGCGGGAAATCGACGCTTGCTTCCAATTGCTGGGCGCTCCTGCCGGTGGCCACGAGCATTGCGCAGAAGGTGGAGAGTGTGCACAAGCTGACCGCGACGCTCGACGAGGTGCCACTATTGGATGACGCCCAGGTCGCCCACAAGTTGCTTTCTCGATGTTTCGGAGCTTCAAGACTTATGCAGAATATGCGAACAACGCGGCCTGACTGGATAACACTTGGTCTGGAACAGAGCCAGCAGGCTCGCAGGTCGACGTTCCAGATCTGCACAGGCACAGCACTGAACGAGAGTCAGTGGCAGCAGGCGCCCCTCCCCTTGAGCATGGGAGGGCTGGGATTTCGGTTCGGAAATTCTCACGCTGCTGCGGCCTACCTTGCTTCCTGCATGGCGACGCGACACTACTGCGGTCAGATCGACGCTGCCTTCTCGTGGGACGGGGGCTGCGATGGCGGCGCCCTGGCAGCAGCAGCCAACCTCTACAATGATGGCTCCCGCCAGGAGCATCACATCGCAAACGAGGATTCGGCTGCCGACGGCTCCTTCCCTGGCCGGCGGGTTCTGTCAATGAAAGTGGACGAACATCTCTTGGACCAGCTGATCGCTGCAAGCCCAGACGTCCACAAGGCGAGGCTCCGTGCAGCCAGCGTGCCGCGCGCGAGCGCATGGCTGCAGGCCCAGCCCTGCAGCCCCCCTCGGGCAGCGCATGTCCCACTTCGAGTTTGTGGCGGCCTTGCGTTTGTGGCTGTGTTGCCGCGCTTCTAGCGGGGGCGACGGATGTCCGAAGTGCGACCACGTGATGGACGCGCAGGGCCTGCATTCTCTCTGCTGCATAGCGGGTGGCGACGCGGTCGAGGTACACACCGCTTTGCGCGATCAGGTCCACTCCTTTGCGCATGCTGCGGGCTTCTGGGCCGAGAAGGAAGGGATCGGGCTGCTGCCGGACGACCCCCGCCGGCGGCCAGGCGACATCCACTTCCCGACTTGGCCGTTCGGCCCGCCCCTGGCCCTCGACTTTGCCGTGGCGTCGCCTCGCAGACAGTCTGCGGTGCAAGGGGCCGCCGCCAGACAGTTTAGCGCGGCCACGTCGTGCGAGGGGGCGAAGCTTGCAGACGGAGATAATGGCGTACGCTGCGAGCAACTTGGCATCCGCCTAGTCCCCGTGGTCGTGGAGTCCTTCGTCGGACGGGGCGAGATGGCGCAAAACGTGTTCCGGGCCTTGATTCATGCTCGCGCAGCGCGCAGTGGCGCGACGGTGAGCAATGTCACCACTTCCTTCTACTCTGGCCTTAGCATCACTTTGACGCGTGCGAACGCACGCGCTCTGCTGGCCAGGATCCCTCAGGAAGCTGGGGTCCATGCTGACCGCGTCAGCCGCGCTGCGACCTTGCTGCAGGCGGGGCGTCCGGAGGCCGGCGCCCAAATAGATTGAGGGATCTTAGATCTTTAGTTTTGCTCCCCTCTCTCCTCCTCCCTCCTCTGCTGTTCGTCGTGTTTTTCCTCCCGCCCACAGGGACGCCGGCATTTTCCTCTGCGCTGGCGCCCGGAGGCACCTCTCGGACCGCCTCCTTTCTTGCCTTGGCCCTGGCCCTCGGTTGGCCCCCCTCCCCCCCTCTCCTCCCCCTCCTTTTCTGTCTTCCTTCCTTTTTTTTGTTTTCTATCTCACTCTCTCTCTTTCTCTCTCTCTCTCTCTCTCTCTCTCTCCTCCCCCTCCTTGGCTCCCCCCCTCCCCCGTCCCTCCGTCTGTCGGCCTGGTCTGTCCTTTCCTGTCGTCTCCCCTCCCTCTCCCCTTCTGTCTCTCGCTCCTCGGCTCCTCGCTCTCCTGCCCGTTTTTGCCCCTTGCCTGGCCCGCTTTTCTTTGTCGGCCGTCCCGCGGTCCGAATTTGAGCTGCGGTAGCCTGGCGTTTGCTGAAGTGTGAGGCGCACCCGAGTGCCCAGGCTTTGATCAGCATGGGTGGCTATTTGTGGCTGTCAGCCTGGGTGGCTATTCGTGGCTGCCCTCACGGGCCCTGTCAAGAGCAGCGTTTTATGTGGAACTCGGCAACGTTCCGAAGACTTCGATCTTCGACGATCCTAGGTCCTCGAACTTCGATCTTCCTCCGATCGAACCTCGATTTTCGAGCTTCGAGGTTTCGATGATCGATCCTCGAGCGTCAAACGTTGAAACAAATTTCGACCTTCGACCGCCGCTGTGCGAATCATAACGTCGCCTTGCAGGCTGGGGTCCCGACGCGAGCCGACGCAAAGGTCCTTTCTTTCTCCCTCCACCGCCGCCGCGTCCTCCTCCTCCTCCTCCTCGTCCTCCTCCTCCTCCTCCTCCTCCTCCTCCTCCTCCTCCCCACTTCCTCCTCCCTCCTCCGTCTTTTCCCTCCTCCTCCTTCCTCGTCCTTCTCCTCCTCCTCCTCCTCCTCCTCCTCCTCCTCCTTCTCCCTCCTCCTCCCTCCTCCTCATCCTCTACCTCCTTTCCTCCTCCCCCCCTGAAAAAAAACGACAGCAACGATTCGATCCCGCCTTCACGCGCCCTCACGGCCCAGGGGAGGGGCCGCCCCCCCTGACGGGGGCGGCCCTCGCGGCTAGTTAAAAAAGGGCGAGGCCGCCCGCTGCTGGAGGCAGCTGGCGCTCACCCTTTCCCGCGGGGGG